CAGAGGTACTGATTTGGTCGACCGGTCAACTGCGACGAATCTGCTATATTCCCTTCCACGTCTCTTAAGCGGCCCATACATTATCAAACAAATTGCGCAACACAGGCTGTTGCGCAACGAGTTGCCAATGCGTGGTAACGTTTGATGCGTTGCGCAATTGTTTGATAAGTTTCAAGAATGTTTGAATTATTTTGTGCAACAGGCGTTTGCGCAGCGCGTTGTGTAGTGTATGTTTGTGTTGCGCTTCATTGTGCAATATTTTAGTTCTTTCATTCAAATTCTTTGTTTTCTCTTTTATTTTCTGGTATCATTGACATCATCTAGGGCATATACGATAATAATTGACTCAATGGCAATTGAGGACATAATTGTTTCTCAAACAACGCGCAATTTTTAATAAAAAGTTTGATCAAAATTTTACTAAGTGCATGGGTGATGCAATTGTGCAACGGAACGTTGCGCATCGCTTTGTTGCGCAACTTGTTTCATAATGTATGGACCGCTGAATCAGTTGTGCAAGGCAACATTGCGCATCGCTTTGTTGCGCAATTTGTTTGATAATGTATGGGCCGCTTTAGCAATGTGTACAGTTTCTCGGTTTATTTCATAAGTTTCGCAACTTGTTTACTGTTCTCTCTTTGTTCAGTACATTATAAACGCATTGTGCTCTTCTTACATACGCAAATCTCGAACCAAGGCTAACTTTGCCAGGCCTTAGTATAGGTACAATATGACCGAAAAAAAAACGGTGTCAGCGATGGCTTCGAAATGAAGGTTGCTGTTAATTTATGTGTTCTTGCAAAGTTTCAACCTTCAGAAATCACTTCGAGTGACAACATTTTTTTGACAGCGCGTTTGAGGTAGCACTGACGCTTTGTGTCCTATACTGCTCTGTCTGACTGTTATGTTTTTGTTTTACATTGTATTTGAATGTTATCTACAAATTTTATCTAAAAAAAAATGCTTTCTTTAATATAACAAGAGAACAAATTCGAGCTTTCGAAATGAATTTTGTGTTTTTTAGAACATACTTAAAGGAATTTAATTATTAACTTTAAATATAAGTTGTGATTTAGTTAAATCGATCAAGCATAGTCGAAACTGCAAGGCCACTTCACTAATTAGAATGTTCTGGCGTTGAAATTGCAGCAAGCAAACTAGTTTACAATTACTTTCGCAGAAATGCAGTCAACAGTATAATACAATTGACAATAAATAAATTGGGTAATTTAAATGTAAACTTTCTCGAGTTTAAAATTGAAATAGGTCATTTACTGACCTAGTTCATAAATTAGTTTAGAAATAAACTGCAGATTTGCTTTTCAACGAAAAATACGAAAAACAAGATTAATTTGTAGCTTTATTTTATATTTTTAGATAAAATAATATTTTATTGAACAAACATATTTGATTAAAAACGGTAATTATAGTAAAAATTTAAGTTATATGTTATTTGATATATAAAAAATTATCTTTAATAAAAAATACTTGATTAATAAAACTCAATGTGTATGTTCCTGAAAGACATCCTCGTACATATTTTAGGTTTGCACTTAAACAAAATTTTCAAGTTTTTTATTCTAGGATCTACAGATGCCCGACGCATTATTGTGGGACCCTGTGTAACAATACATTGACAAGCGGTTAGATATTTCGATGTGCGAACAAAGATAAAAGAAATATACACTAGAGCAGAATAAATTGGAATAAAAAATAAATTTTGAAGCATTTCATATTTTTATTTGTGCCAATCAGGAATAATTAGTTCTGTCCTATTTTTCCAAAATAATTTTGCCATGTTTTATAAATATTTTCTAAGTTATATGCATTTATAAATAGTTTGGCCTACTTCAGTTACTGATAAATGCACAGTATTGTGCATTTATCGATGTAACATTAATGTATATGTAGATGTAACACGCTAATAATTGTAAACACATAGAGTATTCTATTCCCAATTGTGCTTTATTGAATTATTGTTACATATTGAATTAAAATTGTATTCTATATGCCTATATTTCGAAGTTGATTATTTTATAAATTTGCTAATGGATATTTGCTTCCTGAGAAGCGGGACAGTATTTTTAGTATTCTTCTTTAATTTTGGTAAACAATACAGTAGCGTTCATATCTCTGTAAGTTCTGAGTTTTAACATTTTTTAAAAATTTGAGAGTACTAAACTGCCACAAATTCTATGTTAGCACAGTATATTATATTATTATATCTGTATTTAACATCAGAAAACTAAAAATATAAGAGATTTGAGTTAGCAGGGCAAAATACTACAAATTCCGATGCTAAATAATAGAAAGCTACTCTTAGAGGATAGAAAACTAAAAATTAACTGGACTGTATAACCCATATAGCAAATGTACTGTGAACACTTCAAATATAGAAAAACAGAAAGAAAATCCTTCAAAAAAGAACTTAACAAAAATTAAAACAAAAAAAATTGACTGTATCATCAGAAGTGAGGATAATATCTGTCTTTTTATCATTTCCATACAGTTTTTATTAAACCTTACTTATTAAAAAAAATTATTTAATAATTTTATTACTGACGTTTGAAATTAAGAACAATATTTTTAGTTATGTCATTATATCAGCTTTCTATGTAGTATAATGTGAAATATAATTTGTCTTCTGAACTATCACAAAGTGTACAAAAGGAATCTATGCACGTCATTTTATTAGATTTTGATGAAAGGATAACGTGCGGTTCATATATTTTTAAGTTATGAATTTTAACAGTACTGGGGAAAAATTTAATAACCTTGTGAAAGCAACATCATTCTAAAGAACTCTTATATCGCACATCCCCTTCAAAACTGTATTAACTCAAAATGTGAAAACTACTCAGGAAAAGCAAAAAAATAAGTTAAGATAATATCCTGCTTATTGAATATTATTGGCCAAATAATATTATAGTTGAGTTAATAAATCAAGTTAAAAGGGTAGCAGTATAATAAAATATTCATATAATAAATATTAAAAATTAAATAGAAAATAATTAAATGGAAATTAATTTACTGTGTGCCCTATATGGGGTCCTTCAATAGTGCGTCGGGCATCTGTATCTCCTAGAATATAAAACTTGGGAATTTTATTTAAGTGCAAACCTAAGGATGTATTTCAGGAAAATATTTTAACTTTTACAGGGTCAAAAAGGTATGAGAGGGTCGAGATGATCAATTTTAAATGAAACACCCTGTATATTATGTCATTTTTGGCTTCCTTTCAGATCATTTTACATAATCCTAAGATATGAGTAAATATATTTCGATAGTTTCAGATTTATCAATAAATAAATAAAAAATACATATTTTTCAAATCAAAACTATATTAGGTATTTACTTTAGATGGCCTGTACTTACTTTGCTATAAATATCATAATCTTAAATCATATAGAGTGTTCAAAATTCTACATCAAACTTTCTAAAATATAAAATAAGTTTTCTTTGTTTTTTAGGCTACAGATGAAACCTGCATAGTAAACTAACTGTGAATACTACCAATCTAGAAGAGCGAAAACACTTGAAGATAAAAATTAATTAATGTAAAACTTCTGATGAGGGGTAGGGGACTCAAAGAACTTACAATCTTTTAGGATGTTTATTTCAAAACTTAATTTGAATTAAAATTGGGGCGACATGCTTAGGGATTCACTTAATTCCCATCTTCAGGTCCAGAAAGCTAAAATAATCAAATTACAATCAGAATAGTTAAACAATTCTAATATAGTCATACAGTGGTCTATAATTTTTTTTGTTTGTGATTGTATTTTATAACCTGACCTCTGTATGACGTGAAAGTGAAAGCTAAAATAATCAAATTACAACCAGAATAGTTAAACAATTCTAATATAGTCATACAGAGGTCTTTAAATTTTTTTGTTTGTGATTGTATTTTATAACCTGACCTCTGTATGACTATATTAAAATTGTTTAACTATTCTGATTGTAATTTGATTATTTTAGCTTTCTGACCCTGAAGATGGGAATTATGAATTAGAAATCTGATATGTAATATATATTATGTAATATGTAATAATATATTATGAATCCCGAAACATGTCGCCCCAATTTTAAATCAAATTAAGTTTTGCAATAAACATCCTAAAAGATTGTGAGTTTTTTGAGTCCTCTACCCCTCGTCAGAGGTTTTACATTGATATGTAGTCACACTAGGTTGGAGAACGTTTAGTTAAAAATTAATTGACTACATATTCTATATAATAAAATTATATAAAGATTCTTGCCACTTAACTGCTTATATAAAGATGGTACCGGTGGTACGAAAGTACTACCATTGCACGCAGGCCGCTATCTCCCGTTTGGGACTTAATATCTAACCGACACTTTCCGACAAGTCAGAATTAACTATCTCTGCGCTGTGGTTGTCATTTTGTGGATCTGCCCAAGCTCACCTCATGATGGAGTAGGGCTCCGAAACCGGTAGTGAGAGCAGGTTGATCCACATTATGACAAACACTGCGTAGAATTAAATTTCTATATAAGCAGTTAAGTGGCAAGAATCCTTATATAATTTTATTATATACCTATACTGCAAGAAATTTGTTTTCTATTTTATACTCTATATAATTATACCTCATACTTTATATATTTGTGGAATTTAGTCGTTATTAGAACAGAGGAAATCTTTCCTGCAACTTCTTCCTCCACCTCATCCCTCCTGAGACACCCTCCTTTACCCCTTATTGCCTCAGCGGTATCACTGACTGACGTCTGTATGAACCGGAGGTAAGCGCCTTGTCGGTTCTGCCGAACGCTAACGGAACCATCCGAGCGATTCCATTCGTGCGTTCGGAATGACTCGCTAACGGACTCATTCGGCGCGAGATCGTCGATAACGCAGTAGCGGCGGAGCTTTATCTCCACCCCCTTCACACCTTCCGTCCCACCCACGCCGGCTTGATCGAGAAAAGCACGAGATATATAGTGCGATACAATAGACTATCTTCACTCGTCGATCTGCCGCTGTTGGCGCCGCTCGTAGTTCCGCATCTCCGTCACAGGTTTGTTGTCTATCGATGTTTGTTATTGTTTACCTTGCCGATATTGTTGTTGATGTTCTCAATTTTTAAATTTTTTTCGCTTTATTTTTGGTTAATGGAAACGTATATTTTTCGCTGGATTAATGTGAGAAGTTCAATGCGTCTGATAAATTATAGATAACAAGTGTAACATATGTCGCCTTATCGCGATAATTTGGATTGTTTTTTATACAATTTGGGGGGTGAGGGGTATGTGAGATAACCTTATAGGTCTGGAAAAAAATCGGATTTTATATTTTGTTGTTATCAATATTTTTTATATTGTAAAAGTGCATCGTGATATCATGTAATTACATTTGTTTTTATTTTAATAATAATATACAATATAAAAAGGTATTAGAAAAAACTAAAATATTTTTTATAATAAATTTTAACTATAAAATATTTAATTTTTAATATGAAAGAATTTATAAATATATAATTTTTTTATTTCTTTCTTCTGAAAATAATATTGCCCTTGCATTCATTTATGATTTGGTATTATTAATTGACTGTATACTATATTTTTAAATTTATTTTTTTAATATACATATGTAAATTTTAAAATTTGATTTTTTTGAAGTAATATATATCAGAAATAATGCAATAAGAACATATAAGTTAACCCCGTACAGGTGTAAAGTACTTACCACTATTATCTTTAAATTTCTTTAATTTTTTATTTTAAATTTAATTATTTTTTTCTGAAGGCACCAGAAATTATTTTACTTCATATATTTTATTTAAAATAAATGAAAGGTATATGATACCAATTGATTGCACCTGAAAATATATTATTACATATACAGGGTTGATCACCACATAAGACATGGAGTATTGTAGCTAAACAATTAAGTTCTTCCAAATTGTAAGTTTTGGGTTCGTTGAAGGACTATTATACAATTTAAAAATAATTTTACAAGATACAGAGTGTCCCAAATAGGTAGCAAACATTAAATTTTTATTTTTTTTAAATGGAATACCCTCTCTATTATTCTATTTTTAGATTCTACGATTATAAGATAAAAGTAACTTTGGTTATCTGAGCAAAATAATTTTGGCTTTGATTACGAGCAAAAAAAGTAATTTGGAATAAGTCCTATGTATTTCAGATTTTTTTATGTGAAAAGTTCTGTGGAAAATTATTACTTATATTCCTCTTTATATCTTCTCTTAAATTATGTGAATTCAGGTTTTACCAGTGGGCGGTATAATTTTTTCAGTTCATCAATCTGTATTTGTTTGTTTCTACAGGGTGTTTCAAAAACATGGGCCATCTCTCATGGGGAGAGTCGCCACGTAAATATAAGATTTATTTTTTAATTAAACATAGGTCCGATTAACAGTTTCCCTTAGCAAGTCTTTTCATTATGTTAAAGTCTTTATTTTTTCTCGACTTATTACAATTTTCTTCCAAGTGCCTTTAGCGATTTGAATGAAATATTGTTGGTTTGGTTACTATAAATAAAACGTTACTATAAATGTGACATATTTTAATGCTAAAAAAATGTCGACATATTCACCAGGGACGTGCATATGGTTGTGTAGACCGTTTAATACCGATTAAAAGTTGTCTCTTGATATTTTGTCGATGTTGGTCACTTTGATAAGATAATCGTAATTATATTAAATTGCCTTAATCCAAGTCTAATACCAGCCTTTAAATTTTATTAATGTCATTAACTGAACGAAGTGTTAAATAAATACATGTTGATTCTTCATCAAAAAATACGAAAAAAAGTTCCTATAAACGTAAGTGAGAGAATACATAGTTTTAAAGTTACGGGATGTTAAAACTTTTACAAAATATATCCTTTTTAATTATCTTAAATACATTTTTTTAAAATTTGCTGTAGCTAGCATTGAACTTCAGTTAAATTTTAATAATATTTAATAATAAATTATATTAAATAAATAATTTATTAATTTTATTTAAATTTTATTAATTGTGATTATCAAAAGAAAAAAAAAGAGTCAGTGGCGCTCATATTTTTTTTAAATATTCTAGTGATAACATAAAGGGCCATTACTACCGCTTTCCACTTCAAAATATTCTAATAAGGTTGCGACGAGTTTTTTCACGGCAATTAAGCTATCTTGTACACTTCGCACTAAAAGAGGTACTAAAAAGAACAATGTTCGACTAAAAGGTCTGCTAGTAAGTCTTTTTAAGCTTAAAGTATAACAACACAATCCATTTAAACAATTCAAACCACTAGTAATACAAACTAAGTGCCAAAACGAATGATAATATCAGAAAATAAATAAATAAGTGTAACAACTTGACATTTTTTACAACAGAGCTGCCACATGAATCCTAAACGGGAAATTTAAATTCCAATTAGTCAGGCCGTCGCCAAATACGTCCATGGTTGGCAACAATGAATTTAAAATCACGCCCTCGATTGCGTAACTAAAAGTTTAATTGGTATCACTTATATATCATTAAATGCTAAGAATTTATTTGTTTTACTGGTAAACAACTACTGAGAAGCTATTTTCCGTTAAGATTTAATGCAAAGGTGCTTACAAAATGAAACTTTTATTTCTCACGGACAAGATTTATTTCTTTGGTGGGCAACTTAGTTTATTTATCAAATTAGAAGATCTATAACTAAGGAATAGCTTTATTTATTTTTATTTTCCTATTTTTCAAGAACTTTAGTTTTATTTTTTTTTTGACTTACATTGTACTTTTTCTTTTGATAAATAAACTTTACTTTACTTTATTTTCGCAGATTTTTCTTTCAGTGGTAAATAACTCAGACTTTTTTCAAGGACTGAACCTAACATAAATAACTTTTTTATATTATTTTTACGTAAAGAAATTAAATTAACGTGTATTTTTTGTGGCTTTTGACTGTAATACCAAGTACTTATAAAATAATATTAAAAACTAATTACAGGAATAAAAAATACGGCCCTGCTTAGATATAGGCGTGGTGTTGTTTATCAAGCGCAAATGAGATGCGAATGAAGTGTAGTAGTAATTAAAAATCGTATATTTAGCTTGAATAAAGCTTTTCTTTAAAAAAATAGGTAAACGATATGAATGAAAGCTCTGAAAAGTTTTTTTATGGTATTTATAGTTCGCATTCATTAAACGTGCTTCTTTAAAAGCTTGCAACGTGAAAATAAATACCTGAACAGGAAATTCTCCTTTTTACGAAGTTATCGAGTTAACTCTTTATTACATTTTAATTTATACCATAAAAAACGCCTTTTGTTAAAAGTTTGTTCATTTTTCTAGTTATGAAAAGATGTAAATGGAAGTAAAAAATACAAAGAAGTGTGTCTCGTGTGCTTACATATTATGTATATTTTTTTGAAATATTTTTAAAACAGCAAAGGTGTTTTTTTATATTTTGTGCGATATATAATGAATTTATTTATAGCATACCAGCATAAAACTTTATATTTCAAAATCCCTCTCGTGCAGCAAACAGCAAAGCAGAAATTTATTTCTGGAAAAGGCTTAATATTTTACTATACACAGAGGAATTTAAAAGAATAAATTTATTTTTTTGTAAAATGTCATTAGGTTAGAATCCAAATGAAAAACTGCTTCTCAGTGTCAATAATACACATTTTAATTTGAGTTCAAACCCATAAAAACTTTAGAAATAATAAAGTTTTCAAATCTTTTAGGCTTCTGTTTAACACATTTTTTCCGAAATTTACACGCTATATTAAATTAAATTTATATGTTATATAAAAAAACAGTTTTTTATATAACATTTAGAATATGTATAAGAAGATATATAATAAGAACTTAAGGTTGTTGATGCAAACATTTTCAGGGCAAGTAGATCTCGATAAAAGGAACAAAATAAATAATAATGCAAAAATTATAATGAAAGAAGCGATAGCCTCTAAAAGAAAAATAAAAGAGGTTTTTTAATACAATCTAAAAATAATTTTATTGCTCCTGCATATGTAGATGTTAGTAATGTATGACAATCGCTTCTTTGATTTTAAAGAACATAACATAAATAAACATAACATACGTAAAAATTAAAAACAAATCAAAAATAATCATATATTATATCACGAGACCTATAAATTAAATCGATTAAACTATTCAAATATATTTTGCGCGTGATTTTGCTTGGAAAATAGTTGAATCCACAATAATTTAATAAAAAGGTTTTTGTTCTAAAATTATTGTGCATGAAACTATTTTCCAAGCAAATCATGCAAAAAATTATTTGGGTAGTTTAATCAATTAAATTTATAGGTTGAGTGATATACGGCTAGATTATTTCCTGAATGACTTAGAAATGAAGCGAATGACTTAGGATGAAGCTAATAACTATTAGAATTTTATTAACTATAAAATTTAACATTTTCGGACAACATTTTTTATATTACTAAACCGTGAATTCATTTTCACTACAGCGGTAAATAAAATTTAAAGACGTTTCAAAATGACGGACGTCTCGTAAGCTTTGAATAAGAGGACTAAGGAAGGAGCATAATGCTATCCATGTATTCATGCTTATTGTCAGTCTTTATGGAGCTTATTTTATGTTATTTATTATTTATTCAACTACTGATAGTTGTATAAAGGTAGTAAATCTAGATGAAAATTGTGGCAGAACTTAAATTAACAGTGACACTATCGCAATTTATCGAAAAAGACTTTAAAATAGTTGGTTGTGTAGCGTGCGGTAGATCTCGGCACAAATCGAGTGAAATAATGGTTAACAATGTTAACAACAACTTTTCGCTAGTAAGTGACTATATAATATACATACGTGTAGTAAACCGATCATTTATGAAATTCACTTAAATTAACTAAATTATATATTTTTCTTGCATTTTAGCTTTTATTTATTACTTGTCAAAGATTAGATGTCAAAGAATTTAGATACGTTAATTTCATTGCCTGGAAACTTATATGGTGAAATTTTGATAAAATAATTTAGTACTCACTAAAAACACGGTACGTCGCTAGTGGTAGGAAAAATAATTTTTAGAGG